TCCTTTCCCCCTTTCCCCCATCTTGGTTTCCCCATGCCTTGCTTTAGAGGGACTGGCACTCTCACCTCCTAACAGGACCGCAGGCTTTTGTGGAGCAGATGAGAGAGGTAACTTTTCAGCTCCAGAGACACTACCTTGGACAAGCTGCCTCACCTCAGCAACAGGGCAAATTAACTTCTAAACTTGGGGGGGGGTTAATATGAAAAATGACAATTCCACCACCACCCACCTGAGAAGGCTATTGTGAGAGTTGCTTAAGATCACGTAAAGAGAGGGGCGCCTGGGTGGCTCAGTCGATTAAGTGTCTGCCTTTGGCTCAGGTCATGATCCCAGGACCATGGGATAGAGTCCCATGTCATTGTCCTCAGGCTCACTGCTCAGAGGGGAGTCTGCTTCTCCCTCTGCCCCTCCGCACCTCTTGTGCTCACTCTCTCTCTCTCAAATAAATAAATAAAATCTAAAAAAAAAAATCACGTAAAGAGAATCCAGCACACAGGGGTGCTCAGTTAGTGTGAATCCTCATCCCTTCTTCCACCCTTGCAAATAAACTCTCTCCACCTTCTCCTCTAACCTTTTTTCCCAGGCTCTTCCCAATATTATCGCTTTTCTTCGCCCTTCCATCAGTATGGCAATTAGCCAATCAGCCTCTACATGAAAAGGAAATCTGCTCCCAGTCTACTAAAGGGAAGAAGATAGAGCAAAGGAACACTGGGGCTTCCTGCTGGGCAATATGGTCCATAACTGTGGACAGTTAACATGGGGAAGGGGAGGTAAGTATTAAACCCTGATGTCAGGGGAAACCATCCACATTGATAGCAATTATGTAAACACACACACACACACACACACACACACACACACACACTCTCTCTCTCTCTCTCTCTCTCTCTCTCTCTCTCAATCTCAGTACTGCCAGCAGAGCTGGCTCACATTTTTTATCAGAGCCCTTGCTAATTATTCTACCACTGTCTATCTGTCCCCCAATCCCTAGTTTGTGAGCTCCTCAAGGACAGAGACTGTCCTTCTCATCTCTGTAGCCCTCATTCCCACCTCATTCCCGCCCCTCAGTGCATACTATATAATGAACAAATACTAAAAAAAAGTGTAAAAGAAAACTTGCTTATCTTTGGCATGTTTGCAGAAGAGTAAATTTCGTCATTTGTGTGCACGGTTCCCATTTACAACTAGTTACCATGCCTAGCATTAGAAAGTACCTCTACTGATAACCTAAAATTTGGAGGATATTGTGCTCCAAACCTTTAATCCTGGCAATTCCTTAAGTCTGGCAGAGATTCCCACCTTGGGTCAGGAGCACAGGGTTACTATACAGAGCATAAGTATACAGGGGTAGATTTTGGAAATTCGTATCCCAAAGCTATCTTACAGGTCCGAATTAAAAGGTCTCCTCAGACACCCACTTAAGCAGAAACCCATTGTCCAGAAAGCTACTGCTTATCCCTAAATACATAAAAAGACCATCTCTTGCCCTCCAGAAACATTCACACCTAGGCCTCCTAATAAAGAGTTACATAGAAAGGTAGAGAAGTGAAACCAAAACCAACCACAAAAAAACTATCTACTAGATGTGATCAGAATCTGTGTGGGTGAGTTACATGTGTGACATTCCTTAAAATGTTAAGAGGGCAAGAACCATGAACTATGTTCTAGAGTACATAGCTCCATTGTGGAGCTTGGAAAGCATGGGCAAAGCAAGAATGCATCTATTTAGTATTTGTCAAGCAGGCATTTGAAAGCCACACTAAAAGACCCCAGTCAGACACGTTATTTCCTTCAGCTTACAGATGAGGAATCTTGGTCCTCCTAAATGTCAGCTGGGTGAAGACAGAGAATTGGATTCAGCCTGTGAAGCCCCCCTCTTGCCTGCCAGGTACTAGACACATTTACAGACATCATATCAGTTAATCCTCACATCCACCCTGAGGGGCAGTTTTATTCTCCCCATTTTACAGTGGCAGACAGGAAGGCTTTGAAAAGGTAAACCATGGGCTTTTTCCCCACCATCTATCACCTAAACTTTGCCTTGGAGAAAAGCAACTTCTTCCCCTCCAGAACATCCCAGTAATTGAGCACACATTGTAGGACCAAATCAAGATGTTTTCCTATGGGGCTATTTAGCATCACAGAGCGGGAAGGACACGGATTCTAAGGACAGATATGGAGCTGTTACTTACCCAGGTGGGCCACTGGGCGCACTCACACGCAGTCCCCATTTCTCAAACACCCTATCCCCCAACCCAAGTCAGTCCTGCCAAAGACCCTTTAGGAGTTTAAGACTTTGCATGTTCAGGAAGATCATACTCAGAATCCCTGGACCACTTCACGGGACTGGGGAAAAAATTACCACAACTTCCCCTGCATTTAGTTCCTCCCCCAAAGAACTGTTGAACATCATCTGGAAACAGCTGGGAGACAGCAGTTTAACAGGAAACGAAGCCAAAAAAAAAAAAAAAAAAAAAAAAGGCACAGAGTGTACCAGGAAGAATTAGGCAGCTAGAACCAAGAGACCAGGAGACAGACAGGAAGCTGAGGTTAAAAAAGAGCCTAGGCCAGAAACAGGCAGAAGAGAAGGCCCTGCTGGCCTTCCTCTAGGCCCAAGGAGAAGGAGAAAACCTGGAAAACAGTGGTGAAGGCTCGAATCCCATGGAAAGGGAAGTCAGACCACCACTGAGATCAAGTCCGCTTCTTCCCTGCCCCCACCTCAATCCTCCTTCTCGGCTAGTGGTCATGATAGGACAGCTGAGGTCAGAAACTCCTGTTCTCCTGCTGCTTTCCGTGCCAGAGGCGAGAGCCCAAACAACTGGTTTTGAGTCATTCCTCTGTCAATCTGTACCACAGTTCCACACTGCCAACTAAATTTGGGGACAGTCAAATCAGCCTCACAGGGAGAGACAAAGAGTGTCTTCATGAGAAATTACTAGGCAGATACCCACTGGGGACCTGCAGAGTGGCAGGACTTGTGCACAGGGAACTACAGCAAAGCAAAAGAGCCAGTGCGGCTGGAGCTCTTGAAGAGCAAGGTAAGGGTGCATGTTGCAATCAAGAAACTTAATTGAGCAATGGCCAGTTGCCAAGATATTTTTGAAAGAAGTGGGGGAAAAAATGCCATTACTAAAATTCTTTGGTGTTCTTTAATAATAAGCCTTTAGGTTATCCAAACCTAAAAGGGCAAAGGGAAGACTGGTTTATTTTTCCTTTAGCAGAGCTTAGGTAAGAGCTTTCTACTCATGCCTCCTGCTACTTAATCATCCCTTCTCTCCCAGCACACGAAGAAGTTTACATTAAAAGAAAGAAAAGGATTAAGTCCTCTTCAGAAAACACATTCCTGTCTTTCACCTATAGTTTTGTGGGAAAAGACTTTGTGGCATATGCTACAATCTAGGTGCGTTTGATTCCAATGAAGTGCTCAAAATTCGAGACTTGAGTAAGCAGGGCTAAAAGAGGGCAAAAGGCTGCAATCTCAATACCGTTTAAAAAAAAGAGAGAACATCTTCATAGGCTCAGTGCCAGCTCAAACTGGCAAGACCAGAGAATCAGAGCAGAGCCTAACCAATGTGCCACGCAAGGGGGATGGGAAGAGAGCTCTGGGTAATGCACTGCAGCCATGTGGCAAACAAACCACCAGGGAAAGCTTCAAGAGAGGAAATGGGGTGGGGGTGGGAGGGCTCGTTTCAGAACATAACAAAGGAACAAATTGACTAATCATTTATTCCAGAGAGGGAAAATGCCACCCTGAGCCATGTTTTAACTTCAGGTAAATGTGTAATGTTTTAACTTGGATCTGGGTTTAAAGGCTCTCCAAAAAAGGCGGGGAGCGGGGGGGGGGGGGGGGACGTACCTACTTTTCTTTACGCTGTTTCTGGAGTCTCCTAGGAAACTTTCCCTGTGCCGCCTGCACAGCAGACCTAAGACAGCCTGGGCCAGTGCAATTACAAATGCAATAACCCTCACTCAGCAGAGATCCTATCGTGAGCTTCCTACGGGACTGGACTGCTCTGCACTGCAGCTAGCCCAAAGAAGTTCTGTTGCTGAGGCAGAAGTCACCTGGCACAAATACCTAACATGCACTCAGAAGGAGGAGAGGGTGGAAAGACACTTTAACTCGTGAGGGCCAGGCAGATCTGTGACTTAGAAAAAAAAGGGATTTCTGCCCAGAGCTGGATCCACGTGTCAGAATGGTGTCTGGGATGCCTGCCCTCAACAATGCCATCTCCATATAATGTTTCAGGGCTGACCAGAGAACCTTCCAACTTGTCAGGGGGGCAGACTGCACCTCCAACAGCTGTGGGTCTGAAAGTCTACCTAGGAGGCACCCAGGGTGGCCACTAAGGTGGGAGAGGGTCTCCCAATAAAGTAGATGTGCGGAGACCCAGCCTCTCTCTGCTGGGGCAATAAGAAAAGTAGCTAACATTTGCAGAGCATCTAACTATGTGTCAGGCACTGGAATAAGCACTACCTCTCTCCTTCCATCCCCAAAATAGCCAATGGAGGCTGATACTACTGTCATCCCCTCTTCATAAAGGAGAAAACAGGCTCCGAGATTTGACGCAACCATTAAATACTGGAACCAGCACTGAAGCCACCCCTGGACAGGTGCTCTTACCCATTACTCGATATTGCTGGAAACACACAAAGCGTTTGGGGGCAGGGGTGGAGAGTCGAGTAACACAAGGGGCAGCCTGTATTTACACCTCTTTCGCGTCCAAAGTCGGTGGCCTCGGGACATTGGAGGGGAGGGCCTGGATGGAGGACGTGAAGCCGGAAGAACCCAAGCACTGCCAGCAGGGGAAGAGGCCAGGACACCGACCCCTCTGGCTTCCACCGAGGATCCCAGACCCATAAACCCTCCCAAAGGGGCAAGAACCAATGGCAATGCGTGCAGCCCAGGGGTCCTCAGGCGGTCGAGCCCTCTGCGCCGGTTTTGGCAAAGTAGGAAGCTCCTCTGGAGAGGTGGGGCCGGCCCGGGGTCGCCGGGTCCCTACCTGTAGGCCAGGGTCATGCACTCGAAGAGTTTGGTGAGCGAGGCGTCGATGGACAGGTGACAGGAGCTGGTCTTGCCGAAGCTGTAGGTCTGGCACGTCTGCTTGTTGACCGTGTCGAAATCGTAGCCCTTCTTGGGCGGGTGCTCGCGGTGTGGCGACGACACCATGAAGTGGCCGCTGTGGATGATCTGCTGGCGGCGCGGAGGCTCCTCGCGGCCCGGCCCGGCCCTGGGCGGCGGCGGCGCGGCGCTCGCGTGGGCCCGGCCCGGGGTGGCCGAAGCGCAGGCGGGCGGCGGGGACGGTTCATCGGTGTCCGAGTCGTCGTCGTCCTCAGGCACCTGAGGCTTGAGCAGCACCGGGCGGCCCCGACTGCGGGGCCGGCGCGGGGAGCACATGAAGACGTCGGCGGCCATAGGGGGTGCCGGCCGGGAGCATCCCCCGGGGCTCCGGGCGACGCGGGCGAGCGAGGCTGACGGGGCGCCGGCCCGGCCCGCGCGCGGACTGTCCGCGAGCGCGCCGCGGGGCGGGAGGGGTAGGGCGCGGGCCGACAGGGCCGCCTCGGCGCCGGCCCCGGTGTGACGTCACCGGCGCGTCTCGGCCAATCGGCTGCCCGCGTCGGCCTCTTAAAGGCGCAGGGGAGCCTTTCCGTATCTAGGCGGACAAAAAAAGCGGGGGGTGGGGCGGGGAGGAAGGTCGCGGGAGGCCCCGCCTTGAGGCCCCGCCCCTCGCCGCCCCCTCCGCTCCCGGCTGCCGGGGATGCTGCGGGCCGCAGGGGTCCGGTCGTGGCACTCGCAAGTGTCGCGGCCTTGGAGAGGCGTTGGCCGAGCGGTGCCGTGCCGACCCCGCCCCGCACTCCCGGGAATCGCGCTGCGGGCGGGGCGGGCGCTCCACGTGGTGGGTGGAGGTGGGGCTCCTTCCCCCTCCCAGGCTCCGCTTCCTCTGGCTGGGCCTGAACTGTGTCCTAACAGTTGGTCCCTCGTGTAGCTGAGCACGGTGGTTATGATCTCCATCTTCTTGATGAAAAGACTGAGTCTCTCAATACCAAAGGGATTTTTCTAACGCGGAAACAAGATCAAGAACACTTCTCACTGAGACCTCACACCCACAGAGGTGGAAACTGGCTCTTCCAAGTTAAGACACTCTCCCAGGGGCATCACAATTAGTACATGCCAGAGCCACCAGCTCCTTTAACTACAACTCCAAATACTGTCGTTTTTGTTAAGATCTTAAATTTGGAGGGTGAGCCAGCCCCCAAGCAATTCTGAAAGGGGAAATTCTGAGCCACAGTTTTCTTCTCTTTCAAATAGGGAGCAATTCTGTCTCAGAAAGTTGTGACGGTTAAAAATGATGATAAATTGCTTAGCACAGTGCCTGGCTCGGAACGAGTGCTAAAGAAATGTTCTACGGACCGAAATAATGGAAGCAACCAGACCAGAGTTACCTAGAAATTGTCAATACTCAACCACTTTGGACCTACAGAAACAGCAATTTCGTATGGTTCAGCCTAATAGTCAACACTTCTAGAAAGCTGTCAAGGTTTCAGGGACTCAAAGTCAGCCTGGGGTGGGGGCCATGTTGGGAAGATGGGGGATAACAGGGCATCAAGAGGGGGAAAGAGACACTTGGCTAAGAGCACCCACTCTAGTCCCTTGAGAGTCCTCCACAGCTTCTGTGCTCTGCTTTGAAAACAGTTTCACTTCCAGATTCGGGTGGACGCTGAGTACCCTGCCCCACCCTCCTCCTCACAAGGGCCTCTAGAAGGACAGTGCTCAGAGGGAAAATGAAAAAAGGCTCTTACAAAATGGGTCATGCATCCTCCTTCCCCAGATATCTCCAAGGAGGGATAAGCCAAAGGGACTGGTGGCTTCGAGTATGAGTTTGAGGTCTACCCCCTTGCCCAAAGCAGTGCTCCCAACGCTGGTTGCAGATGTCTAAAAGGCCACCCTTTGACTTGCCTTCCTTCATCTGAAGACCTTTCTCCTTGGGAAACTCTTAAATACTCAGCTGCATTTGATGCAGCAATTGCACTTTAGAATTTGATCCTAAGATTGTAGCATCACTTATCAAGAGTGAACATTAGAAACAATGTAATGTCTGACAAGAGGGAATTCATTGAATATATTATGGCCCCAAATGGAATGAAACACTACATTTTGGGGGGGTGGGGCAGAGAGAGAGGGAGAGAGAGAGAATCTCAAGCAGATTCCCCACTGAGCGCAGAGCCTGACAGAGGGCTCGGTCTCACAACCCTGAGATCATGACATGAGCTGAAATCAAGAGCGGGTCACTCCACTGACTGAGCCACCCAGGAACCCCTGAAACATGACATATTAAATGAAGTAAATATTACTGATGTGGAAAAATGTCCATGATACAATGTTAGGTGGAAAACCAACTTTTAAAAAAGTTATCAGTAGTTTGATATCAATTTCAAACAAATACTAACAAAGTCATATATTTATGTGTGTGTGTGTCAGAAAATGCACCATAATGTTCACACCGCTTATCTCTGGGTGGAGCGATTCTTATTTTCTTCTTTATGCTTATCTGTATTTTCTAATTTCCAAAAGAAACGATTCTTACTTGTATACTTTTTTTTTTTTGAGTGTACTCTATTTCTCCTTGGTCTCTTAGCACAAAAGACATCTTTGTGGGAGGATTATACTTTTTTTTTTAATTTAAAAAAGCAAACATCAATTCCCTAGGAGGACAGAACCTCTCTTAAGGCTGATGTTGCAAACTGGCAACCCATGGGCCATATGCAGTGCACAGACATGCTTTGTTTAATTCACACCACGGATTCTTAAAGATTGTATTAGAGAAAAAAAAAAAAGAAAACAAGACTGGAGGAAAACACAGTTTGAAAGGCAGGAAGCAGAAAATTACCAAGAGTGAGATCTGGAGGGTGCAAAAAGCAATCAATGGCTAGAGGGAGAAGGTCTTGGGGGCAGTTTACCAGGATATGTGGAAATGATTGCAGAGAATCTAGCCTGAGGGGCCCCACCTTCCTTCCTGCAGAGTAAGGAGCAGTATTAACAGCCACATGCACAGAGGGACATGCAGGGCAGTGCTCCAGGGGAGCTAACAACTCCCACGAAGGACAGAGAGCTCCTATACCCAGCAAACCACAAGAACACAGAACCTCATGAGGACAGCCATCTCTTCTCAAAAAAATCAGAAGCTCTCCATTATAATTAAATCAACAATCAGGCAAATAGGAATTCCTGAATGCAGAGTATTACAGACCAGCAAAAATCAGTGGGCAAGCATTTAAGGAAAGCCAGCACTCTGGAAGAAAGCTACCTGAGAACCAACAAGTAAGGGGGAAGTTAGAACAAACAGAAGGCTTTAAAAATAATTAATAGCTCTAGAAAAAATGTGGACGCTTCTGCGCCCATCAAGCAAAAACTCATTTTAGCTTCTTTATTAAAAGAAGCAAATAGAGGTCTTGGAAAATAAATACAAATATATGATTTTGAAAAGCTGAGTTGATAGCAAAATGAATATGGCTGGACAACACAGTAGTAAGCTAAAAGATTAAAACAGAATTTCTCCTAGAAATTCTGAAAGGACAAAGAGAAGGTATATGACATGGAAGGTACATTCAAAAGTTCCAGCACCTGCCTAATAGTTCCTAATAGAGATAATAGTGCCTAATAGAGAGAAAGAAGAAAGTGAAAGAGAGAGGGAAAAATAGAGAGAGGAAATAATTAAAGCAGCAATAAAGGAAAATTTTCCTGTGCTTAAATACACAAGCCTTCTCTATGGATCAATATAGGCTGATGGTGCTGTGATAACAAACCACACCCAAATCTCAATGGCTTAAAACCACAAAGGTGTGTTTTCTGGCTCTTGCTACCTATCTATTGGCTACGTGTCCATCACAGGTCAGCAGTGGACTCTGCTGGTTGTAGTCACTCTTAAGACTCAGGCTGGCAGAGCAGCCACTGTCTGGAATGTTGCACATCACTGTGGCAGAAAGGAAGAGAAAGATCAATGGGTCTCACATTAACAGTTCAGTGGTCCAGCCCAGAAGTGATATGTACTCACCACTCATTGCCTAGAACTAATCACATGGCCTCACCCAAACACGAAGGAGCCAGGAAGTATAATCTGAGCGTATGACTGGAACTATTTAGTTAATCGCACTGATGAGTAATGATCAATTATACCTTTGGTTTCCATGACTTTGATACCATGGATGACTCTCAAAAGTGTTATGCTAGGTAAAAGAATTCAGACTTAAAAGGCCATATATTGTTTGATTCCATTTATTTATATGACATTTGTAAAAGGCAAAATGATAGGGACGGAAAAACCAGATCAGTGGTTGCCAGGAGCTTGTGGGGAGGAAACTAACTGCAAAAAGGAACAAGAGAACTCTTTGTGGTAATGCAAATACTCTCTGTTGATTATGGTGGTGCTTGTATGACTGTGTAAGTTTCTCAAAAGTCATAGAAATGTATGCCTGAAAAGAGCGAATTTTACTGTATGTAATTTTACCTCAATAAATCTTGGCGGATAAAAGGTTAAATAAATGGCTTTTTCCAGCCATAGGATATTTGAAAGAATTACTGGAGGTTGTTCTTTAGCAAAACAAAAATTAAATTCAAGTAAATAGAGTACACAAGAAACAGTGTAGAGCAAAACAAAACTTAAACTTGAATCTTAAAAATTATGATTTTATAAGATTTTTATAAAAATAAAATTAAAAAAATAAAGTTTTTAAGAATAAGTCATGTTAGAAGTCTTGTAATTAAAAATACCAGTCCCCTATCTGGCCCCCACACACCCATTCCATACCCCTTATTAACTGATAGCGCCACCCACCACCTCCCAGAGGTAATCCCTTTTGAAATTTTTAGTTATTATTTCTAGTATTTATCTCCAAATTAAAAAAA